ATGATTTCACTCATATGTGGAATTTAAGAAACAAAACAGAAGATCATAGGGGAAGGGAGAGAAAAATAAAGTAAGATGAAATCAGAGAGGGAGACAAACCATAAGAGACTCTCAATCAATTGGAAACTAACTGAGGGTCGCTGGGCAGGGGCAGGGGGGAGATGAGGTAACTGGGCAAAGGTCATTAAGGAGGGTATGTGATATAATGAGCACTGGGTATTATATACAACTGAAGAATCACCAATTTCTACCTTTGAAACTAATAATACACTATATGTTAATCAACTGAATTTAAACAAAATAAAATTTTTAAAAAACAAAAATAAAAAATCACAGACCACAGCCTCAGTCACGGGCAACTTGTGCACAACACATTAGCCAAGACAATTTGCAAAATAACACTTTAATGATGCAGGAATCACACCTCCAGCACATCCCATATCTGAAGAATTCAAAGCTAAGAAAAGAAAGAGCCTGCACAACACACGTAAACACAGTTGAAGGATCTACATTTGAGATGCTATATTTTGGACAATTGCCAGAGACAGAATTCTCTTCAGTGGAAAATCAGCTTTGATTCAAGAAAGTGCCCCGTAAAACCTGGACAGGGCAGGCTGTGACCTAGCACTCATACTGAAACAGATCGGCAGGTGACTCAAAACCCAGATGACAGGAAGAAACATACCCACAGATGGATCAACCCAAAACAAGCATTTCCCGGACCACATTGATTATCATCCTGATGGGCTGGAACAGAGGACAAGCCACTCTTGGTTATCAAAACCACTCCATGGTGTGTGTTGGCTTTGCTGTATGCGAATTCTGTGTGCAGATGGATATATATATCCATTGTTTAGGCTGAGTTTTTCTCAAAGATGGCCTACAGTTTTGTTTTAAAAAAAAAAATCAAGTGAACTGATCTGACACCATACAACATTTATAAAGAAACACACATAACAAAAGGTGGTCAGATATCCTGGTCCTATTTGAGGGCACCACATCCTATGTGTATACTACAGGTATTGATTCTGGCCCCTAGAATTTTTGGGCCTCTCACCACAAGATGGGATTAGAACACTTACATAAGTTGGCTATCTTTACTTAGAGGCTCAATATAACGGCTGGTGCTCCCCAGGGCAGAACAGACACCAGGGCTTTGCTAATTAGGATGAAAAGATTAGGGGATCCTTGGGTGGTGCAGCAGTTTGGCGCCTGCCTTTGACCCAGGGCGCGATCCTGGAGACCCGGGATCGAATCCCACGTCAGGCTCCCAGTGCATGGAGCCTGCTTCTCCCTCTGCCTGTGTCTCTGCCTCTCTTTCTCTCTGTGACTATCATAAAAAAAAAAAAGATGAAAAGATTATTTCACTGTGTCTCCATGCCAAACTGAAAAAGCAAACATCCACCTTGACATTTCTTTCAGCTCCTAAGTCTTCCCTAATGCTTAACTTTTTTCTTCTTCCTTTCTATCCTCCGATTTTCCTTCCACAAAGCTATTCATCTTTTCCTCAGCTCCTATCAACAAGGAAATCATTCAACTGCTGACATGGCTTGCCCCCATTGACTGTGTTGTAAAGACAGACTTTCTGCAAGATGGAATCCCTGCCCCAGATCCACTCCACCACTACCATCACCTCCTCATCTTTGTAGGAGGACAACGCAGACACCTCTCCAGACCTGCCACTGCCCTGGTCTGAGGAGGCAGGAACGTCCAAGACAAGGGAGGAAATACTGTGGACGACAGCAGAAATTGCACCGTCCCCAGGGCTCTGTGTTTCCACCACACCCAGTGGTGGAATTTGTTCCCAGTAAACACGCATTGCTCAAAGCACCATTATATATTAGAGATGAAAGAGAAAGACTGTCTGCTTCTCAAGTCAGCTCCGCTCTACAGAGGATACACATGAAAAGTGGTTATCTGTGCTTCTCTGATCCAGACACTAGACAGGGAAGCCCCTGGGCTACCTAAAGATTGCTCTTTTCCATGTACCTTGAGCATAATTTCTCCCTTGAAACTCCAAGATGGGCACAGACTTCAAATTAGACTGGAAAGTAATGAAACATGAAAACCCTTGTGGAACACTCTTTGGAAATCTTGTCCCCCCCAAAAAAAATTTTCTTTTAGATTTTATTTATTTATTTGACAGAGAGAGCGAGAGTGTGCAAGCAGGGGGAGCGGTAGGCAGAAGGAGAAGCAGGCCCCCTGCTAAACAGGAGTCCAGTGTGGGCTTGAACCCAGGACCTTTCAGATCATGACCCAAGCCAAAGGCAGATGCTTAACCGAATGAGCTACCCAGGTACCCCGCTCTTGCCAAAATTCTTTAGGAATTACATAGTGTTGAGAGTTAGCCATACTAAGCAACATCTAACCTCAGTGAAACAATAATAAAAAGACTAAGGATGAATAAGGAAGAAGAGCGGTGAAAGTACCAGCCATAATGCACATCCTGAAGGGGTCCTTCCTGTCTTAGCCCAGCCAGTCTCCCCACAGGTGAAGCTGCTATAACTGTCAGAACTTGAAAAATCTGTCAGGCTTCTTCTCCTCTTGCATGGTATCTCTCAACTCAGTCCAGTAGCCATATATCCACCTCTCTCCAGCTTCTGGCTAATGATGAGCAAATCATTCACTCGTCCCAGCCAATATTCTGAACAGTTAGCCATTCTCCCCTGGGTATGGTTTTCAGAGTCAGCACCCCATTTTTTTTTTTACCTCTTCCATGGTAACACTTTGCCTTTTAATGATTGATTTGATTTTTCAGATAGCCAAGAGATATTCACAGCCAGTCAGTCCTTCTGGGAAATAAAATTGGTTATCAAGCAAGATAAAACATTTCCTGTTAAAAAATAAAGTGTACTTTACTTTTTTAAAGATTTATGTATTTGACAGAGAAAGAGCACAAGCAGGGGGTGTGGCAGGCAGAGTGAGAGGAAGAAGCAGGGTCCCCGCTGAGCAGGGAGCCCAATGTGGGAATTGATCCCAGACCCTGGGATGCTTAAGTGACTGAGCTGCCCAGGCACCCCTAAAGTGTTCTTTAAAATAATGTGTGTGTGTATGTGTGTGTCTGTATGTATGGTAAACTGGGTCTGAAAGATGTTTCCACTGAAAGCTTAAATATGTTTTATGCCAATATGTGTGAAAAGTTTCCAAGGGTCAGAGCTCTGAAGGACAACTCACATTTGGATAGAGACATTGTGCTATGTTTGCTTTAAAAGATTGATTATTTTATAGCTACAACTCATAAAGCCTGTGGTCATAAAACACCTCCCTCTATCTTGGAGACAGACTACACTTGTATAAATAATGTTATCATGTTCTAACTCAGCTAAGACCACTCCTGGTCCTAAATGTGGCCAGACTCCACTCTGCACTCAAGTAGCCAGGACCACAGAATCTATTCCCGGTATCAAATCTAGCTTACATAGGAAAATAAAAAAGGAAATTTAATCCCAAAAGAATAAATATTGTGAAAGGATAAGAAGTGACTAAAAAATCAAAATAGCTTAAAGGATACAGAAATATGCTTAATACTGGTTTGGGGGTACTTTTGTCAGTTACACAGTGCTCGTATGGAGAAAAGTAGCAACTCTATCTTGATTTCACATCTGCTACTTGCCAAGGTATGGTCATCCATCTTCCACAACTCTGCTTTGTCACCAGTCAGCTCCAATGGACTTAATTGTGCCGTCACTTTCCAGTCATACTTCCCAAATCTGCTGCTTGCCACTTTAAAAGCTCCTTATATCCTACAACGTAGTATTCTATGTCTACTACTTCCACATTTTGTTTACTTCATCCCCTTCTTAGTCCACTAAAAAGAGGGATTGTGGTTTTCTGAAATAAAGACTAGACTTTAAGTCAGACAGAGATGGGTTTGAATCTTGGCTTTAGTGGTGACCTCAGAAAATGTAATTAATTAATCTTCCTAAGCTTTTCCAAATTAAAAAAAAAATATTATAGGTTGTCTTAAATTATTGAATATATGTTCCTTAAAAACTGAAAAAAATGACTATATAAGGCAAGTCTTTATGAGTTTGTTCAGTGTATTTTTATAGGCATATAAGTTCTATGAAGTGGAAACATAGTCTAATATTTCCTGTTGTGCAGTGTGCTTTGTTTCCCTTTACATTACCAGTAATGCACCTCCACTTCTATATCTTTGCAGTGACCAAGAGCCATTAATTATGAAAGTAGTCCTTTCTGTTGTTGTGGCTGAAATGCTGGCATTGTGTTTGTTATTGGAAGGTTCCTCTCCTCCCTCTAGTTGCATACATTTGCCCTTCTGCTGTCCCCTAGAACAACACAGATAAATCTGATCCCTTTGCCGTATAGCAACCCTAAAATATGAAAAGTGAGCCTTCGCATCCCTGTCTTTTCTTCTCTAAGTTGAGCAGCTTTGGTGCTTTTGTTTTGATTTGTTTATCCATTTCTGATCTGATATTGCTTCTGGGTCCTTGCTCATCCTTACTGTAGCCTGCTAAATCTTGGGCTTCTCTCACACCAGAGTGCCATCTCTCACCTGAAACCCTTATCCTCTCAATGTAAATTCCTTTCTTCCCTAATTTCTACTGGACTTTATTCTGTTTCCATAGGTCTCCTCACTTCGGCTGTACTAGACATGTCTTGTATTTCTCTGGGAACAAACCACCTACCCACTCTTCACCTCTACCATCATCAACCCCATAGAAGAGTATCTCAAAGGTATCTTTGGATTATATTAATTGACTTTAGCAGCTATTTCCTCTTTTTATACAACCAATACATTTTCTGTGCATTGTTTCAATCTCTATAACATTCTAAAAAGCTATCATGTATATGTGTACAGTATAGCTGCCAAAGTGACTACTCTGGAGTCAGACTGCTAGGGTTCAAATCCCAGTCACCTAACAGCTATGTGTCCTCTCTGAGCTTCAGTGTCTTCATCTGTAAGACAAGGATAGTAGAAACCACTTCATAAGGTTGTTACGAAGATTATGTGATTACCAGTAATGCATGCAAAGTACCTAGATCAGTAGTTGGCACGAGGCAAGCACTGTTTGCTGCTGTGATGAGAAGGATAATGAGGTATGTGCTCAGGAAAATCACTTTCATCTTCCCGGGTCTCAATTTCCTAACCTGTAAAATGAAAAGGAAAAAGGATAAACGCTGACAACAGTGGTAGTGGTGACTGTACTAGAACCCTTGACACTTTATGAAGCACATCCATATGCAGTAGTTCACCAGGAAGCACTCATGAGTAGCCCCTGCCCTCAGTGTTTCTGACTTGCTGGAACAGCCAACCAATGGGCTGCAAAGCATGAACACTGACTCTGGCCCTGGGCCTCCATTTAGCAGAAAGATCCAAAGTCCTCAGATAGCTTATGCCTCCTCCAGTATCTGACTCACTACCTGCAAAATAATTCAGGCTTGTACATCTGGAGCCCCAAATGGCACTGAGAGACTAGAAAGTAAGAGACAGGCAAAGAAATAAAACAAGGCAATCATATTATTGAGTATCTTTATTACCCATATTTCTGAGATAATTTCCTCATAGAAGTTCACTATGAGTGTCAAGGTCACACAGCTACTGACTTTAAACCAGGATGGAAGTCTGACGGAGGCCAAAGCTCAAGCTCACTCTAAAGTTCCATGCTGCCTCACTGAAGTTTGCAATCTATTAGGATTGGGGTGTTGGTTGTCATTTAAACTTTTCCACTAAATCTCAAGCCCATTGAGAAGTTCTGCTCTAAAATGGTGCCAAGAACATGAGGTATTTTATCATAAACAACTAGCCTATAGATGGCGCTCTTTTTCACTCATGACTCACCCAATCTGGCACTCCTCAGAAAAGCTTCAAAGCAAAAATGCCACTGTGTTGTGAAGGCCCCCAGAGACAACTCTACCTCACAAGTCTATCTGGTAAGTGATCAAGACAGCTATTGAGCAATGACATTTCTTCCATATTTACAGAATAACAGAATAAACACGTCTGAAGCATGTTATTGTTCCATACAATAAATATTGTAATTGAATGAGCTCAGGCCTCTTTTTTGTTCGTGTTCTTCCTCATTTATTTCCCACCAACACACTTTTTTGCTCCCTGCTTTGATGGCTGCTAGCCCTGAGGGCACATAGGTGAAGTCAGCATAATATATACATTGCTAAAAAGTCTCCAGTCAACAGGTATACTTCCTGCTTAAAGGAAGTAGCATGAAAACAAGAGAGCAATGAAGCCACGGTCTTGAGATCCCAAGGATTTCACTGTGTTTGGGAAACTCCACTGAATTAGAACACTTGGCTTAAATAAGCGAAATTACAATTATAGGTTAAGAGACATCTCTATTATCTTCATTGTCATTTCAACAGACAGTTACTAGATGCCAGGCAGGATACACTATATATTGTTGCATTTGGGCCTCATATATAATTCTGTGAGGTAGGCACGATTATTATACCCATATTTAATGAGGAAGCTGAGGTACAAAAATTTTATATAACTTTCGCATTGTCATAGAGCAAAACAATGGTAGCATGAGGATCCACACCCCAGCAGCCAAACTCCAGCACCCATGCTCTCTCCAAGCAAGTTTCTGATTGCCTCTGGAAAATGGTAAGATACTCAGGTGTGTACCTATAAGCCGGAACTATTTGGCTTAATGGTTTTCATGAGATTTCCCAATCCATTTAAACAACCCTGTACTGTAAGCAGTTGGTGTCATGAAAATGAATACAATCTGCATATGCTAAGAAAACCCAAGCCACTGTGGTCACGTGAATTTCCTCTGCAGAGTCACTTCACTTACCTGTTGGATTGATCACACACAACACTTGAGTTGGAATTCCACTGAGAATTTCTGGCATGGCTGGAACTAACTTGTTGTGAGTGTACTTAGGGGATTACATTTGATTCTTACTATGACTTTTACTGGAAATCTCTGACAATGAGATGAATAGCTGTTAGGAAAGGTAGAAAGAAAACTGTCAACCCCATGAACCTCTTGTCACTGATATGTTTCAGAGCCCCAAGTTCATAAAGCTTCCCCCCTTTTTACCCCACAAAGGCTCCTTCTCTTTCCAGAAAGTTCCTCGTCCCAAAGCCTAGGACCGATAAGGAATGAGGACAGAACAACAGGTGCCTTGTTGTCTCAAGTGGTTTATTGACATTGCTAAGATTTTTCAGACTGGGTAACACCCATTTAGCTCATTATGCCCCTCATAGCAATAATCTTCTTTAGGTACTTTCTCCCTGTTGAGAGAGAGTGAAGTAGGGTGGAGTGAGAAACATATGAATTTTTCTCTCTCCTTCTCTCTCTCTCTCTCTCTCTCTCTCTGTCTCTCTCTCTCTACTTATTTTCAAGTTTAATGCAGCTCAATTTATGTCACACAAGGGATGACCCCATTACAGGAGCTAATTGTAGGTGGCCACAAGATAGAACTGAAAGACAAAGGGGAATAAAGGCTTGTAACAAAGCACCCAGAAGATGCCACGCAATGCCCCCCTGTGTTAGAACCATCTGCCAAGGAAGCATGACAAATGGCACAGTCCTAGGGGTCAAAAGGTCTGGATCCAAGTGTTGCTCACCCCATAATCTTGGGCAAGCTCCTTTTCCTGTTGAGGCTTCAGCTGTCTCACTTTTATAAGGAATAAAGCTTGACCAGAGGGTCAGTGGAAATTGATGAGATCTCATGCTCTAGGTCACTCTAGGGCCTGTATCAATGTTGGTTGTGGGTTGATTTTTCAGGGGTCTGGCCTTGTCTCTCACTCTAACCAGAAGCTTGTCCTTGATTCTTGCACATCCTCCCAAGCCCAGAAAAGGTAAAGGTTTGATATTGCCTTGGGTGTGATCCCAGTCCATCTTATGAATAAACATGACTTCCTGTTTCCCTACAGTGAGAAAAGAGGAGGGAAGCAAGGTCTGAGGAGAGTAACAGAGGCCACAGCAAATGAGGGCCTCAGCAGGGGCAACAAGAGACTGTTCAAGCTGACTCAGTCCTGTGTTTTTTCCTGTTAAATGATTCACATGGCAAGGCAAATCAGGCTGAGATGCACAAACTCTTCTCTGCCTTTCATGAGCTTCCAAATGAGTTGGTGATTTTTTTGTTTTTGTTTTTCCTATCTCATTACACTTTCCTTGGAAACATGATCGCACTGTTTTCATTCCAGATTGAGGTTCCCCCCCACTCATTTCAAGGTCCTGGAGAGGTGGGGTTATCATATTTAACTCCCCAGCAGTTAAAGCACTATTGGAAACACTGTGCTAATACATGACTTTAAAACTACCTACAGGGCCATTTTAAATGTTATTCCTTAAACATCTTGTGTTTTTTTGACTCAAATAGGTTAAATTATAAACAAAATTTCATAGCATGTTGTATATAATGAAGTCTGAGCTTCTTAAAAATCAAGCTCTAGGGATCCCTGGGTGGCGCAGCGGTTTGGTGCCTGCCTTTGGCCCAGGGCGCGATCCTGGAGACCCGGGATCGAATCCCACGTCGGGCTCCCGGTGCATGGAGCCTGCTTCTCCCTCTGCCTATGTCTCTGCCTCTCTCTCTCTCTCTCTCTGTGACTATCATAAAGAAATAAAAAAAAATTTAAAAAAATCAAGCTCTAGATATATGAATTTTCCATATGTTTCTTAAAAGATTTATTGTTGTATATACCCAAGAATTTTCAGTTTTTTGAATGGGAATTCCTTCTGGAATATATAACAGACAAAATATTTTTCTTCATAACAAAATTGAAGCTTTCATTCATTATTAAAAGTCATGATCCTTAAATCCCTTTAACACTCTCAGCCACCATTTTGTCTTCTCATGTTTAAGTGAGGTCAATTTTCATTGAGGCCCTTCTTCCATCTTTTGTTTAATTTCCATGCATATCCATAGCCATAATATCCTTTTTAGGCAAATTATTCAGGAAGAGACAGTTTTACTATTTGATAAAATCTGGACAGTGATGACATTCCCCAGCTTAAGACCCTGTAGTAACTTCTCATTATAGTTAGAATATTAGTCAAACTCCTTTTCATGACCTATAGGGCCCCATATGACCTATTCCCTGCCTTTCTCTCCAGCCAAACTCCCCTTCATCCACTGTGGCCCACACACTGGCTTTCTCTCTGTTCCTCAAAAACGCCAGGGCTGTCTCAGGTTCCTTGTACTTGCCATTGCTACTTCCTGAAAGAGTCTTCCCTCATCTTCATCTGACTGCCTCTTTCTCTCTATTTAGTTCTAAGGTCAAACGTCACTTCCTCACAGAAGCCATCAATGTCTCTCACACTAAGCAGATTGCAACTGCTTTCCTGCTTTGCTTCCCCCCCCCCCAGCAGTTAAAGCACTATTGGAATGCTTTTATTTGTTCCTTATTTATTAGTTTTTGTCAATATTTATTCTCTATCACTTCCATTATACTTCAGGAGAAGAAGGCCTTTATCTGTCTTGTTCACTGCTTTACCACAATTTCTAGAATGGCTCTCAACACATAAGAGGCACTCAATAAAATACTGTTGAAGGAAAAAATCCTGGCTCACCTCCCCACCTACTTAAAGCTCATCTCCATTTATCATGGGAAGTTCTGGTTGTCTTGAGTCTTATTGCACATTGGGTAATCCAGTCTGAATTATCAATTACAATGATATGCTCAGATGGCTGTCACAACAGTAAAAAGCTGGTAATGTCCAGTGTCATTCATCCACTCTTGGAAAGAGACAAAAGAGCTATGAGAATGTTGATGACACACTCTAATTTCTTGGGTAGTTCTTTTCAAACTTTTCCAACAAAATGTAACTAACAGTTTAGAATAGCAAATAATAACACTAAGAAGGGGATCAGAACAGGAGTATAAAGTGACCTCCCAAGGACAATATATCTTTGAAGTTGCACATTATGTTTTTAAAATCCAGATGAGTTTTGCATTCTAATAATCACATATCTGGGTTTGATTTAACATAAAAGTAATTTTCCCTTAAATTTTTGGAAAAAATATGCTCTCCAAGAAGATGTGTCCTCTTTACTCTGGAAAGCCACCAAGAATCCCCAGGTACAGATGATTCAAGCTGATAATCATTAGAAATAACTCTGGAGGAGCCTTGAAGGGAGAACAGCCCCTACTCATGCTTTGTTATCCTCACCTCATC